GGCACAGGGAACAGGCACCCAGAGCCACCATGTGGAACACTTACCAGGTGTCCAGGACATCTTCACTTCCCCAGGAGACACAGAGAAGGCATTAACCTCATCTTCCTTGCAATCCAGGGCGTGTTGGGCTTTCCCTAGGTCTGCCCTGAGCAGCCCCACCTGCTCTATTTTGTTGTGCCTGAGCATGTGCCCAGGCTTTGTCCGGGAATGTTCATCAAAGGCCAACACTTCAGTGCCGATGAAAAATTTATTGTGGTCTGTAGCATCCCCACTGTGCCCTGCAGGTCCCTGCAGGGGGCTGATAAATCTTGATTGGTGCCTCCTGGTTCTCCTGGGAAAAGATCCCCAGAGGGACAGCAAGGATTTGTCATGGATCAGCTCATAAACAGGCTCATGCTCAGGACTGCACTTGCTGCTCCTTGGACAGAGGAAGCCATAGACACCTTCCTCATCTTCAGCAGATGAAGGAGAGCGTGGGCTGAGGGGCTCATCCTGCCAGCCTGGAGACGCTGGTGGCTTTGCTTGGTGCTCAGCACTCCTTGGCTCCATCATCCCTGGATGGAACCCTCACTGCCACTGGCAAAGCTGGCAATGCAAAACCAAAACTCATTAGCAAGAACCACACAGGAGACTGCATTTCTTTTGCTTTTCCTCATTTTCCTTTCCATTCTAGTTGATTAGAAAGGGGTGTTATGGCCCTCATTCTAGAAACCTCCATGTTCTCCTCACCAGAACATGCAGACCCACAGTTAGAGCTCGAAACAAACAGCTGGGTTTGTATTCTTCATTTCTCTCTTAAAATACCAAACTCCTCCTATACTTTCAGAGGAGGGTGTGCTTCCCATCCTGACCTTTTCACTGTTGGCAAGGCAGCACTGGGGGAAGAGTGGGGATGTGGAGGGGCTCCTTGGGATGGATCTCAGGCTGTCTGAGGTGTGTTTCAGGCTCCTGGGAGGAGCTGGGGCCACGACTTCTGCACAGGCAGGGAAAGTTTGACTGAGGCAGGGAATCTCTTCATCTCTTCCCACCTGGGCATAGCTGGGAAGAACAGAGTTCCCAGGTGGGAGGACTCTGCCTGCCCACATGCCCACTGTCCCCAGGGCTCTGTTGATGCTCCCTTGTTTTCATCATCAGCTGCTCAGACACAGAGGGCTCAGAGCACAGCTATGACGAGGTGCCAGGCACGGGGAAGCCATGGCACTCCAGAAAACTTTCCCTGTTCCCTTCCCTGAGACGTGGGCAGAGAGGACAAGGTTCAGGTAACTGGGTAGAAACTGGGTAACTGGGGCAGAAACACCAAACCTGCCCTTCCCACATCAGGAAGTGCATTATTAGTTTTTATTCCAACTAGGATTCTGAATAAATAGAGCAAACCTTCACTCTCCTCCCAGAGCCCCCCAGCACAGGCATTGCCCCCTGACAAGGTGAGAGCAGAGCAATGCAGTGAACCTTGTGTCTGTCCCAGCAGCTGCCCCCGTGCTGGGCTGTCACATCTGCCCTCGGTGATGTCCCCCCAACATCTCCACTGAGGAACCCTCCATGCTGGGCACAGCCTGTCCCATCCCACCTGTCCCTGCCCTCGCATTCAGTACCTGCAGTGTGGAGGTTCAGCAGCCCCCGGCCTGACTTCCAGCTCCTGCAGCCATGTCACACACTCGCCCTGCTGGGAAAGCCAAAGGTCAGGAATCAGGTTCAGTCCCAGCTGTCAACAGCTGCACTCTATGGGTTACTTCCTGATTTTACTGGCAAAGTCCATCCTTCCATTAGCACCTGCCCCATTTGTTTGCCCTAGGCTACAATTCAGCATGCAGAATATTTGCCTTAAAAGATTTACTTAGGGGAGAAAGATGCTAAATTCGAGCTTTAGCTGAAGAAAGTGTAACTACAAAGCCCAGAGCTGAACTTGGGAACACCTCTTTTGAGCGGAACAGGTACATTTCCAGGACTGGTAAGTTGTATTAAAAAAAAAAAAAGAAACAACTACAACAAATTAAAATAAATAAATAAATAAATAAACCACCACCCAGCTGAGGCTGGCTGCTCACAAGTCACCTCCCGGTGCTGCCTGCAGGACCGAGCAGCCCGACCCTGCTCCCCGGAGCTCCCGGGGATGATGGAAACCACACAGAGGGGACAACTACTGCACAAGGCTGGCAGGGACAGCGCGGTCCTGCCGCCCTCTGGTGACCACTGGCCCCCGGTGGCCGTCCCCACGCTCGGCACAGGGGCAGAGTGTCCCTGCTGCCACCAGCTCCGGGCTCCCTGGCCAGGGTTTGCCATGGATGTCCTCATTGCCAGCGAGAGATGGACAAAGCCACTGCCTCAAATCCTGCCGTGGCTCGGGGATGGGTTTAATTGCCATTAGTTCATTAGCCAGCCAGGGACGGGCCTTAATGCCATTCACCCTTCCCAGCAGGTTCTGCTCCCCCCTCGCCCCCGGTGGTCCCTGGCCAGCACCGCTGAGGCACACACAGGTCCCCTGGGTGGCTCCTGAGACCTCCTGGCCCTGGAGCCACTGGAACCCCGATTTTGGGGTACACCAGCACCACTGCTCCTTTCCTGAGCAGCCTGTGAGCACCAGCAGGATCCCAGCCTGGCCAGGGCCATGTCCCTGCTCAGCCTCAGGGGCTCTGGCATGTGTGGCACATGTGTCCTGCTCTCCGTGTGTGGCATGGGGACACGAGGACAGGACTGGGGAGCTTCCCCCCTCCTGCCCCAGCCAGGCCAGGGGAGCTCCTGGCACTGCAGGAGCCACAGGCACAGAGGGCACAGAGCTTCCATCCACACTTCACATTGCCCACATGACTTTTCAGCCTGTTTCATTTTTCAAGTTAAAACAAATAAATTATTTTCCTTTTTATTGATATTAAATAGATCAAAATTAAACATATATAACAAATTCTGCTGATTAACAGTATTAAAAAAATCCCAGTAGGAAAGAAAGCCTGATTTGTGCATTGGAAATCAGCCATTTGTCTGCAGAGCAGCTCAAACACCCCATTATAGGCAACACAGCTGCTTCTCCTTGTCGCCCATCCCCAGCAGCTTTAAACAAGAAGGAAAAGCCTTTCCCCTTGGAAAGCACCACAGTTCTTACCACAGACATTCCCAGCACAAATTAAACCTCTCTGCTGTGGTGACAGGGGTCACTCCCCTGCAGGGCCCTTGGCAGGGATGTGCTGCACACCTGGCTGGACAGAAGAGGGACATTCAGGGAGCACTCAGCACCCAAAGGTGACACCGGCACTTTAAAGGACTATCAAACAGTTGCACTAATTCCAGCATCTGCACGTATCAAACAAGCTCGAGGCATTTTGTTTCCCTGAACCAAAATGGTTTGGTTGTGTTTAATGTGCCCATGTGGTTCTGTCACAGCAGGGGCTCTGCAGGACCCACAGGGGTGGCTGAGGAACAAACCCCAGTTTGGGCTTTTTGACTTTCTGAAGTCATGTAAAAAAAAATTCAATATATTACTGGATCAGTCAAATGCCACTCCAATTATCCTTCAAATAGAAGAGCAGCTCAAGTCACAAGACCCAGAGAGAATCCAAGGTTTTCTTTGAAAGTGTGGTTAAATTCTTGTAGGACAGAAAGATTTGGCTCAAGGAATCCCACCACAGCCATCAACAGCATGACCATCCATTTCCCTTAATACTTCTTTTCAGCTTCAAAAAGCTGAACTAATATTTAATTGAATGAAAAACTGCACACTTAAAAGAAAAACCACATTCCATACCAGCAATAATTTAATGGAAGCTTAAAAATTCCCTTTTCCATGGTTCCCATGTCTGTGAACCACCATCCAGCCCCCTGGTGCCATAGCCAGGCCCTGCCCCACACAGCAGCTCATTATCCACAAATGCAAAAATGCACTTTTAATCTGAAATTCAGCAATTTCCATCCCAACTCCCACCCAGCGCCAGTGTTTACAGCACAGACTATTCTTGCACATGTAACTAGAAATTAGGCACATTCACACCTCAGCAGAACCCACAGACCTCAGTTTCAATCTGTCTGCACAAATGTAGGAAAAAATACACTTTACAGCAGCTTTTTAACCCCAGATATTTCATGGATTGATGACTGAGAACAACAGACAACAGGAATCATTTCTGTAGTTTCCAAAAGCAAGTCCCAGCTCCCAATGTCTGTGCCAAAATACACCCGACTCTTGCACATCTGTACCCAGGAGAGGTACACAACGAACCTGCAGTGACTGGTGGAGTCCCCTCCCTCTCATTAAAATATTAAGCAAAATTAAAACCCCACAAAACAACCCACAGAACAAGTGTCTGACATCCCATGTGAAGTACAAGGGAACAAAATGCACATTTGCACACATTTCTTTGCTGTCCCCATGAACAACCAAAGAACAGTCACACAGAGGCAGGTGAGAGCAGAATTCACATCCTGCTTCAGAGCAACCAACACTTCTAGTACCATTTACTTCTTTTCCTTCAAGCTCTTTTAACCCTTTGGGGCCCAAGCCCTGGTATGTTTTTTCAGACCCAAACAGCCTGTGCAGCAAAACTTCAACTTTCTGCATAGAACCCATTGTTTTTTCATTCATACACATTCATGGTACTTTCCAAGGAATTTTCACCTCCCAAATGCAGAGTGAGAGCCCAGTCTTTGCTACAAAGCAGTCTCAGCATTTCTGCAGGACTCTGAGCTTTGTTCCCTCTGGTCACAGGGCTGCAACTTGCAGTGAGTCCCAAGTCCCCTCACGGAGGCAGTGCTGAAGGCACCAAGCTGGAACCTTTCTCCTGCCACATGAAGGGATGGACACACAGAGCACATGGATATGGGCAAAAGCAACTCCCTGCCACCAGCTCCAATGCCCTGCAAAGGGACCCAGCTGAGTTTTGACTGAACTTTCCTTTCCTGGGAAAGCCCCAGTCCCACGATGGCCTGGGTGCACATCCCACCACTCTAGAATGGAATGACAAGGAGTCAGACACATCTCTTTCCTCTCCAGACATCATTGCAGTGAAGTTCTATGGTTTGATAAGGCATTTTTATCTTCAGTGAGGATCCAAGCACGGGCAGGAAATCTGCCAAGTGGTGCAAAAACTTCATCTCCCAGCAGCTTGAAAATCCAGGACTTCCCATTCTCTCCTCAGATGGAACAATCCCTGCACCAGTGGGCATTGTTTATTTAACACCAGTACAGAACAGGGCTAAATAAACCCCTCAGCAGCTGGACCTCGGTATCTTTCACAAAGAGGGACACACAAATGAGCACTTTTTGCAGCTCTCTGGCTTTATCCCACAACCTGCCTTTTTACAAGATCCCTATATATAAATTAGAAAGAGATAAAGCCAAGCATTCACTGCAGCGTCCATGAGAAAGTCCATCTGTGTAGCAGTCCCTCGGGGTGGTGCTCACTGGGGGGTGAAGGTCAGGATCATCCAGCTGATGACGAAGTAGAAGAGGAAGATGGGGTACACGACGAGGGCCTTGCGGTTGGGGGGCTGGCTGTCCGCCAGGAATGCCGTGGATGCTGCAGAGACACAAAACCTGTGAAGCAGGAGCAGCACAACCCTCACAGCCCCCTCACAGTGAGGATCTGCACTGCAGCTGTGTTGAAAATAAAACCACTGCTCAAACCAACGGGCTGTAATCACCAAGTGCAACTTCCTCTGTCATACAGAATGACAAATCACAGAATCATGGAATCACAGCATGGTTTGGCTTGGAAGGGATATCCAGTTCCACGGTTTGGCTTGGAAGGGATATCCAGTTCCACCCCCTGCCACAGGCAGGAGCACCTTCCACTAGCCCAGGTTGCTCCAAGCCCCAGCCAGCCTGGCCACAAATACTGATTAACACTGTACAATGAGAGCCAGACTTACAGATAAAGAGCAGGAGAAATCATGCAAATGTATCTCTATAAAATTGGCATTTTTAATAGTATTTGTAACTTAATCATAGAATAAACCACCAAACAGTTTCACAGAGTTTAATACCAAATCACCATCCTGCTGCCCAAGGCAAATAGCATATGACCATGGAAATCACCAGGAGCAGAGACAGAGGCTGAACCTCTGCCAGCTCAAGGATTGGAAGAACTATTTCTAGATCCCTTCAGCACCTTAGACTAGAGCACCCCTTGGTTCTGCCTCAGGGAATGCACAAGGATGCAGCTCCCCAAGCACAGGCACACGTCAGGGACTCACCCAAGGTGGACCAGGCGAACATGGCCCCCACCACGATGAGGCGGATGATGAAGCTGACGGTGCCCGCGCCCGCCAGCAGCACCAGCCTGCACACCAGCATGGCCACGGTCAGCGGCATCACGCAGTACCCCAGCACACACAGGCTCTGGAAGAAGGAGCTGCACAGGGAGACAGCAACAGGGAAACAGCAGTCAGGCCAGGCAGGGCAGAGCTCAGTGCACAGGAGTGAGTGAGCCTCCACACAACACACCCGCACTCACATGGTGCCTCCCAGGAGCTTCGAGTTGAGCGTGATGACAACGGCCCCAAACCAGATGATGACAAAGACCTCAGCAAACTGGGGCCCTCCATCATCCTTGCTGTCTGCAGAGCCACCCTGCAGCATCCTGGAGTGGGGAACAGGGAGAAACAGCTGCAGTGGGGAACAGACAGATGGAGTTTTCCCAGACTGGAGTAGGTGCCAGAGCAGGAGCCCCAACAGCGATCCCCAGTTATGCTGTAGGCCCATAGTTTTTCATCCATTTTATGTTTTCATTATATCCTCAGTTTTGCACAGGTAACGAAAATGGTTGTGGCTCAGTTGAGGTGATTTCAGTCAGTTTCCCTGTTTTGAGGGCTGTGAAAGCGCTCAGAAGGAAATCAAGCCATGGACAACAGGCTGAGATGGACAGTAAAGTACCAAAGTTTTGGTACCTCTCAAAGCAGCAGAGTAGTGTGTGATTGAACAAACCAGCCTCAGAGAAACCCTGGAATAACTACAGGATGCAGGCACCACAGCTGAACCAGGACACTTAAGACACCTTCAGTAAAACCATTCCTGGGCCAAGGGAGCAGGAAGAGTTCATCCTTAAAACTTAAATGTAGGGACAGGAGGTGCTAGTGGGCTTGAAGTGTCACAAACACATTTTATCAGAGAACCCAACCAAGAGAACCCCAAAATCGGGGTTCCATCAGAGAGGGATGAGATGAAATTGATCTTAACATATTAATTAGTAATTTTTAACGTTTCATTTCCCTCATGCACCGGGCTACAAAACTCCAAATTGCCTTGGAATACTCACAGAGCCAGGGAGACACACAGCACCAATGGACCCCAGAGATCCCCTGCAGGGAGAGGGAAAACACATCACAAAAGTCACAGAATCATCTCAGTTCCCCTCTCTTGGGAGTGACAGAGCCCCTTTCCCAACTCCCAAGGTGCCATTTGCCACATCTCACTGCTTTACAATTTTCTTATTCAGCATCTTACACCATGATCTATAATAAAATTAATTCAAGACCCAGCAGCTGCTACAGCTCCCAGTCCCACCCACCCTGGCCCACACCACCCTGCCACAGAGCCCTGGTGACAGCTCAGCTGTCAGCTCTGCTGCTCAGGACGTTCAGCCCCCCTGAATCCCCATCCCCTGGATTCTGCCTCTCCCCTGGAGGTCAGCAAGGCCCCAGCACGTACAGTCCCTGAGGAGGGCACTGCTCTTCCTGGGATACATGACATGGACAAACTTCTTCCCAACAGCCTTCAGGTCCCTCATCTGAAACAAACACAAAACACTTTCATTTATCCCCTCACAAGAATTACAGCTCCCAGCTAAAGCAAAGAGGCAGAAGGAACACGGATGGCAAATCAGAAGAGGATCCAACCCAACAAGCTCTGTAGCACCCTCTGCAACAATGACTGCTTTTCCTACATTCCTTAACAACCACAGCATCACATCATTTTCTTTAACAACCACAATATGGTATCTTTTAATAACACCAGAATATAACCAACAACTTGTTTGCTCCTCTAGGAAAAGAGAATAAATGAAAAATACGTTCAGTCAGTAGCGTTTCTCACAAGCTCCCACTGAGGCCTCTGCCCTCACATTGATTTCAGGATCACAGAGAAACTTTAGGCCACAATTCAGACACTTTTTGACCCGTTTTGTTTAACGTGATGAGTTCTAAAACAATCCCCACTGAAGCACAGGCTGAGCAGAGCTGTGCAAAAACACAGGTTTTGCACAACAGCTGCCAAAACCACCAGAAAACCTGAGTTTTACTCCAGCCACAGGCTCACACTCACAATTGTGTCCTTGACTGGTTCATCCAGTGTGGAGTAATCCTCATCAGGAGAATGAGATCCCACAGGGACAGTGATCTCCCCTTCCACTGGAATATCCTGGGATATCGACACATCTGCCAGACCTGGGAACTGAATGGGTACAAAGCTTTAGGAACAAACACAAACATGCTCGTGTGCACTTCAGATGGGCTGGGGCTGGACAGAGCTGCTCAGGATTCAGGGATACAATGGATAAATGTTCTGCAGCAGGGCCAGGCTGTGGCTGTGTCAGCAGGAGTGTGTGAGCCTGTCCCCTGCCACCCCCAGAACCCGCCCTCTGCACTCTGCTCCACCAGCACTAACTGAAATAAGTAAAAAAACGTGTTTTAAGGGAGGTGGTGCTTGGGGGCTGCACAACCACACCACCTGCATTAAAAATTCACATTAACAGCCCTGGGGAGCTGCAGGGACACCCGCAGGCACACAGCCAGGCTGCACAGATACCAGGTTTAACCAGGCTGATGCCCTCCTGTCCTGCGGCGAGGAAAGCTCCCGGGTGCCCAGAGGCGAAAGCAAACAGGGCACAGCCCGACCGGTTCTACAGCAAACGCTGCCAGGTGAGGCACGGCGGGAGGCTCCCCAGCAAGATAGTCTGAGGACCTGCCAGTACCCCACACTTGATTTCTTTTCCCCAACATTCAATTTTTCTCTCCCCTTTACAGCAGCGTTTCAGAACATCCCATGATTGCCACCACAGTAGTAAGTTTTATTTTCAAATCAAAAAAACCCAGCCATGTACACCAAGTTCCTGTATACAACAATCATGGTGCTGGTTTGGCTAATCAGTGGTGGGAACTGGTTGCCCATAGGGTCTGTGCCATCACATCTTCCCCACTCATTCATTTCTGAAAGTGCCATCTGTGCACCACCACAAAGGAGTCCAGCCTGGGACAGCCCATGGCTGGAGTCCCAAATTGGGGAAAGTAGCAATGGAAATCAGAGTCTAACATTACTTTGCTTTTCTTTTTTGTCGCCTACATCCTACTCTCTGAGGTGAGGCAAGCGCGGTCTCTTTCTGTCAGGAAATTCTCAGGAATTGTTGTAGTTCTGTGCACGATGATGTGGTCAATCCAGTGAGTGTGCTGGCCCTGCTGGCCCTGGATCAGGCTCTGCAGTGGTGTCACTGTCACGTCCCAGGGCCCCTCTGCCCCCTGCCCTGTGCCCGGCCTCGTCCCCTTTCCTGCCACCTTCCTCACCCTGTCCTCGGCCCCTTTCCTGCCACCTTCCTCACCCTGTCCTCGGCCCCTTTCCTGTCACCTTCCTCACCCTGTCCTCGGCCCCTTTCCTGTCACCTTCCTCACCCTGTCCTCGGCCCCTTTCGGACGAGCCGCCGCCCGCCCAGGCCTCCAGACCGCGCTGCCCTTTGCCCGGCACCGGCCCTGCTCGGGGAGAGAGGGAGGCCCGCCCGCAGCCCGGCCTCCCCGTGGCTGTGGTTGTGTTTTTGGCCCCCGGTTCCTCTGGGTTCCCCGCGGTTCCCCGGCCGCACTCACCAGGCTCCCCCCGGCCCCGCTCCCCTCCGCCGCCGCCATCTTGCCCGTCCGGCCGACGTGGATCGGCCGCGCCGTCAGCACCGCGCGTCACGCGCCGCCGCCTCCATGGCAACGCGCGCGGCGCCGCCCCGCCGGCAGGGGGCGCGCTGGCAGCGCCCGCAGCGCAGCGGAGCGGGCGGAGCGGGGCCGCGTCCCGCACCGGGCCGGGCTGAGCCGGGCTGGGCCGGGCTGAACGGGGGGCGGCTCATCCCGGACTACACCTCCCGGCGGCAGCGGCGCGGCCGGAAGCGCGGCGGGCGGGCTGGCGGGGGTCGCTCGGGCGGGAGCGGCGGGCGGGGCCGTGCGGGCGGGGCGGGCCCGCGGGATGCCGGCGGCGCGGGGCGCCCGGGGCGGCGGCGGCGGTAGCGGCGGTAGCGGCGGCAGCGCTCCGTAGGCGCAGCGCGGCCGAGCCGCGGCCATGGGGCACCCACCGCTGGAGTTCAGCGACTGCTACCTGGACAGCCCCGACTTCCGAGAGCGCCTCAAGTGCTACGAGCAGGAGCTGGAGCGCACCAACAAGTTCATCAAGGAGGTGATCAAGGACGGCAACGCGCTCATCGCCGCCATCCGCGGTGAGCGGGCCGGGGCGGGGGTCCGGGCAGGGCTCCCCGCGGTGTGTCCTGTTCCCTGGGCATCGCCCCGCGCCGGAGCCGCTCGGGGCCCGCGCCCCGCAGCGCTCCGGGCAGGGCTGGCGTTCCCCGGGCGGCGCCCGCCACCCCCGGCTTGTCCCTTTTCCCTGTCCCTGTCCCTGCGCTGACACCCCCGGGGCTGTCCCCGCATCCCCCGTCCCGCTGCCCGGATCCCGGTCCCGCTGGGTGTACACCGGCGGCGGGACCGGCCGAGCCTCCCCAGCATCGATCTGCGCGTTTGGGGACGGTGCCCCCCGCTCGGGGAAGGCGCTCCGTTATTCGGCATCTCCCGAGCCGCGGGGACCGGGGCGGGTTCATCCGTGGTCCTCCCGTCACCCTGGGGCAGCACCGTGAGCGTGAGAGGGGCCCCGCAGCGCCCTGCTGGGAGTCCTCCTTTTGTTGTCGGTGTTCTGTCATTCTTCAAATCACGGTGAGCGTTTTTCCCAACGAAATGTCGATTTCGGTGTTGACTTTGCGGGTGTCGCCGGCTGAGAAGTGCTGACAGATCACCAGAGCACCTGGGCCAGGTTGTGTCACCTGAAACCACCAAGTCCCACGTGTTTGACAGTGACCTTCTGACTGCTTAGATTTGTTTTCCCTCCCCACCTTTGTGGATACACCTCCATACACACCTTCCCTGTGTCATCTCCCATGCCTTCCTGGACTCCATGATCCAAAAGGTTTTTTCCAATTCAGATGATTCCATGATTCTCTGCTGCTGTCGATGCAGAAGAATCCAGGCCCAGGCCAGCAGAGCATCCATGGGGGCAGTGGAGGGACACAGACAATCCACGCTGGTCACACACAGTTTTCCTGCCAGCTGGTTGGTTTCAGTTGGTGTTAATAGGTTTAGCTGCTGTCCTTTTGTTCAGAATAATTCAGAGCTGCCTTGTTATCGAGGCTGTGGCTGGAATAGCCCATGTTTGCCCATCTGGAAGCAGCAGAGACAAAAGCTGGTGTGACTGAATCTGCCGATGTCACAGGGCTGTGAGACCTAACGTGGCTACAAAAACCCACATCTCTGCACAGGCCAGGGCAAAATAAAAAACCAAACCAACAAAATGGAAATCAGAGGGATTAAAACAAACCCGCTTGCTAATGGAAATGCTTTTCTTCATCACTTTGTTCAAAACCATTTCCCTTTTCAGTGTTTGTAGTGCACAGGGATGTGAGGGATTTTGCTGGGTCAGCAGCCCGGCCCAGGGAGACTGGCCAGGGAGGAAGGGCAGAAGCAGAAGAAAGCAGAGCACACCCAGACAACACTGAGAGCCCCCAGGGCTGAGGATTTCTTGCCTGAAATGCTGTGGGTTGTTTTTGTATCGGATCCAGCAGGCTGCCAGGGAGGTGCTGGGGCTAATCCTGCCTGGGCTTCCATCAGCTTCCTGTGTTTAGTTAACAGGTAACTTAAAAACATAAATATATCTCTGAATCCTATCCACGTAGAGCTGTGGGTGGGAATCTGGGGCACTCACTGGCCATGGCCTCACCATGTCCATCCCAATGTCCACTCGGACAGCCACGGCTGAGAGTCCCTCTGTGCCCCTTGACAGGGTGGGGTGGAGGTGCCCTCAGCTGCCGGGATGCAAAAGTGGTGGTGGTCCCACGAGGAGGGTGAGATCCAATGAGGACAGAGGGTGAAGTACCTGAAGGGGCTCACAAAAAAGGTAGAGAGAGATCTTGGACAAGGGATGGAGTGACAGGATAATGGGAAATGGCTTCAAACTGAAAGAGAGCAGAGTTAGGTGGGATAATGTGGAGGAATTCTTCCCTGTGAGGGTGGTGAGGCCCTGGCAGAAAGTGCCCAGAGAAGCTGTGGCTGCCCCATCCCTGGAAGTGTTCAAGGCCAGGTTACCTGAATGAGGAGGGTGCTTTAGGGGGCTTTAAACTCCTTTGGCCTTTCATGGATTAAGGGAAACTAGTTCCATTCCCTCCACCCAACTGTGTCACCAGCTGGAAGAAATAAAATTCCAGGGGTGAAGCTCTTCCAGGGGCCTGCAGCCCACCATATCCTGAGGAGGGTTCTCCTGCAGCCACAGCCCTAACAGTGCAGCCTTGGAGTGTGGCACTTTCTCTTGTCGACTGACACCCCCCACAGCTGAGTAGCCACAGCTACGTGGGACACCACAAGGGGACAAAGTATTCGGAACTGCCAAGTGGGGAATTAAACTGACTAAAGCAGAGAATAATATTTCATTCATTTGTAATAGTTTTGGGTGTGAAAGCCAATAATAGAAAATAATGAGTTGGAAATGGAAATTATTTTTGTTGTAAAGTTGGCTGTGTCCCTTTTTTTCTCGTGCCAGCAGTATGGAGAGTCACTGGCAGTGCCAAGTGACCGTGCTGGTCCCACACATTCTAGTGGCAGTGCTGAGATCACCGTGGCCTGTCCCTGGTCAGGCAGGGAGAAGGACTGGGAGGTGTCTGTCCCTTCATGCCCATCCCCTTGGGCTGGCCAGGATCAGGACCTGATGCTCCAACAGCAGCTTGGCCATGCCCAGAGCTCGCTGTGGCCAGCACTGGTGTGACAGAGGAGCCTTGCTTAGGGCACATGCTCTAGGCCACTGGGGTGTCAGAATTTGTGACTCCATGGCATCGCTGTGGCTGAAGAATGGCTGCTTTACTGTAGTTTATTTCTGTGCTTCAGCATGGGTTTCTTTAATCTCTCCTGCTCACTATGCTCTGCTGTGTGTATGATAATGCAAAATCACCTATTTCCCCTGGTCTTTGATCTTCTCTCCCAATTAAATATCAAATGGAGTTGGAGAAATGTCAGAGGGAGGCTTTTCTCATTAGTACCTGTAAGTGCTGTGATGGTGAAAGTTGTGCTTTGAAGCTCAAAGAGCTGTGAGTTCTCATGCAAATGTTGTGTTTGTGGTTTGCACTTGATTTCTGTCCAGCGTGGAGCTCTGCAGAGTGCCTGGGACTCTGCTGGCAGTTCCCAGCCTCTCCAGGTGCTGTGAGCACTTCATCCTGAAGGATGACGTGACAAAGGAATGTGTAGGGACTGTGTGAGCTTTTCTCCACGAGTGGGGTTCCTTGGACATCCAGGAAAGGTCCCACCATCATCATCGTCATCATCATCATCCCCTCAGGTCCTGCAGCACTGTGTGTGGGAATTGGTGTGTCTCCTCAGGGAACTCTTGTGTCCCCCAGCATGGCAGACCTGTTCTGGACAAGTTTCTGTGCTGTCGTTGGATGTGGTGCCTGGGGGTTTAATGCTGTGGTGTGTGGGAAGCAGCGTGGCATTGGAACAGGTTATTTTAATGGGATTGAAGCCACCCAGAGTGGCCTGTCTGCCCAGTTCCCCAGAACCCCATGTCCTGGTTCGTGGGAGGGCTGTGGGGACAATGGAATCTGTTCCTGCAGTATGTTACACCCAGATCTGGGGACTGTGTCCAAACAACCCTAAAGCTCCTCTAGAAAATGGGGAAGAAGAAAGAGTCTATCCCACACCAGGAGAGGCTGCAGGTCTCTAGAAAGGATGAGCTTTGCTGGGAGGCAAAGCTGCAGTGACAATGTCCTGTCCCACAAAGACAGCTTAGCCATGAGACAGTATGGAGCAGGGGGAGAATGACCTGCTGGAAAATACATCACTCTTCAGCAATAATGTGATCTCTTGTACTTGTTGGCTCCTTGCTGGTCTTCCCCATCCTTGCTGTGGATGGCAGCCAGTAAGGGCACCAGTTACTGCTGGTAACTTGTAGAATTGTCTCCTGACTTCCCAGCTCTGTCTCAAAAGACATCACAGTCATAGCCAGAGCCCAGCTCTCCCTGGGAGCATCTGTGCCCTGCAGGCATCCTCAGCACAGCTGGGCACAGGGGTCTCTGCAGCAGCAGCTGCTGATGGAGCAGCTCCTGCTCCTGGGCTTTGAGCTCTGAGCACAGGACTAGGGCCCCAGTTGGTGCAAATCTAAACCAGACATGCTTTAACCAGACACTAAAACACAATAGCAGAAAAAAACCCCAAAACCCTCCCAAGAGCCAGCTCACTCCCAGCGCCAGAGCCATATCCTCAGTGCAGGCAGGAGAGACGAGGGGCCAGCACAGGATCTACCAGATCCAGCTGCGAGGCAGATCCCACCCCCCGTTCTGGGGCTCGGGGGTGTGTTTGCTGGCTTTGGCTGCCCTTGGAGCAGCTCTTTGGCTGGGCAGTTGTCGCTGTTGGGTTTGCTTTGCTGGTGGCTGAGGTGCCAGGCTGGGCACAGGATGGTTTGGCCATGCTGTGATGTCCCCAGGCCTGGCTCCTTGTCCCTGGCTCCCTCTCTGCTGAGGTCCTGAGCTCCCCAGCCTCCCCCCTGGGAACCACAGGCTGGTTACAGCTGCTCCATCCTTTCCCAGGTGTGCCCAGGCCTTGGTTTGTTTTAGGAAGCCCAGGGCAGGAATGTGGGCAGGGGTGGCTGGAACAGCAGCAAGCCAGCCCAGTCCCTGCCAGCTCGGGGGCTGGTGGGAGGGCTCTGGACCAGCCTTGACACAGCTTAAACAAACCAATGTGCAATATTCTGTGATGGCTTTTTCCAGCCCAGATATGCTTCCCGAGGACTCGCCTGCGTACAGCAGCACAAGGGGCCAGGAGAAGAGGCAAAATCGTTTTCATGTGTTTAAGGATATTTTTTCTTGTGCTGCACATGAGGCATTCAGGGAGCTTTTCATCCATCTTCTACTGTGTTTTCTGGCTCCTTCCCTGGGAGGATGTGGGTGTTATCCATGTTCTGTGTGTCTCACAGCCCACGGCTCCCAGCACTGCTGCTGACCTAAGAGTTTCCTCGTGAGTCACTGTATGAAGACTCAGCTTTTCTGGCTTTTTACTTGAGGTATTGTTGGAATATTTTATTCTCAATGCTGTTGGTGGCACACTGGAAACTACAGATGTGACATCCCATGCCTGCCCCCAGGCTTTTCTGTCCTGCTGGGTGCCAGCCTGGCTCTGTGGAGTGACAGTGCTG